TCTAACTTTTAGTCCTGTGCAGACAACGATCTGAATTTAATAGAGCATGTAGAAGATGCTTGAAGCTAACGGTTGCGAAATTTTCAGTAAAATTGTGCTAATGACTGATTTTTGCCAGATCTGTTAATTCAACTTCTCCCTTCAAATTTAAGAAACAGTTATCGACTCTCTTAATATCCTTCAACACTCTTGGAATTCTCTGCGAGAATTCGGAGCATAAAGTTCTTCGCTTTCAAGCCTTGGAACTAAATATTCCTTTCTACATCCAACTTCATCCCCATCTCAACTTACCAATTCCATAGCCTTTGATCGCTTCCCCATTCGGATCCAACGCAAACTTGTAGACGTGATCGTTCACCTCCAAGTGTCGTATGCAGCCCTTTAGGCCCTTTGATACCGGCAGTTTTTCATCCAGCCCGGTCGTATTGCCCGGCCCACCAATGAACAGCGGCTCCCTAAAGGTTATTCTAGAACAAAAACGGAAATAATCGATCAACTACTACGCCACATAAAACCTTGGGAAGCGCTCCAAAATAGCCCTCAAAGTGTCCTGGCGGCTGCTTGTACACAAGCTAACTTTAACCAGGTCAAAGAGAACAAATAGCTGGTTTGGTTGCTAAGCTGAACCGGTTCGAATTGCGCTTAATCAAGTTCCTCAAATGTCCCTCAAACTGTTTTACCAGTGGAATATTTATTGATTTTGAAGTTGTCCAATGGAGGCCGTCTATTTGAGTTAGGGGCAATTTCCGCAGACGATCCATAATTAAAAGAAACGATCAACAAAGCCGGTTATCTCAGTGGCAATTCGGACAAGCCCATTTTCTCTTGGTATCTGGAGCACTGGCAATAATCCAGCTCATGTGGGTCAGTGAACAGCTTCGCGTTAACGAAATCGCATTTATTCAGTACAAACGATAGCTGAGGACCAAATCCAGCAAACGTTCTGTTGTGCGATTGCTGCAAAACTCATGTTGCACATTTACCTTGAAAATAGGCCTTTGCTTCTTCCTTGTATGTGTTTTCCATTATTCAGTTGCAACCAAGCGTCCCATCGATGTCTGTACAGTTTGATGTGGTTCCATTGGTTCAGAAGGACCGTCTCATCCGAGCGAACCACTCCAATGCCCGAACCGCAATCAAATCTGAAACAAACCAAACTAATGTTTTTTTTTCTGATGGAAATGTTTCCGCTTAAGTGCGCCAATATCATAAATTGGGAGTTTTATTGGACAAAGTTCGGACCATAACTCCACTTGCCCGTACGAAGCCATTCGGGTCTTTCTTTATCTATTCTTTACGTCGCTTTAACCCGTATGAAGCTATTTTATTATGAAATGAATGGCGTGCTTGCATCCAACATAAACCGGAGTTAAATGAGCGGTAAAACGACCCTTTAATGATTTGTATGCAGYCGAATTTACAGGGYGAGTCAACAGTRGWCGYGTCCCGTTTGAGGGCYCAGGTGGAAWGWTCGGGAGAACTMAAAAAAAWTGGGTGTTTTTTGAGAAGATATTGGGTTTTGAAAWTTTTGGTTGTTGCGCCACTGCAAASAGCGCTCTTGCCCCAATCAATGGCGTAAACTGCAGATCAGTAGCTTMTTTTCTTGATTTTTTGCGAATTTTTAATCAGGATAGTGCACTTTTGACCYCCCGCAAYACCCTTTSCAAAACTGATTTTCCATATTTTTGGCAAGCAAACCAAATGAAGTCGAAAGTGCTTGTTATACCACTGGATAGATGACATTTTGTGCTACTAAAGTGGTAAAATTCAGTTTTGTAGCGCTTTTTCCTGATTTTTCGGGAATTTTTAATCAGCCGATTGCACTTTTGACTTCACGTGAAGCTCGCTGCAAACTGAGGTTTAATGATTTTTCCCCGAGGAAACGAAATGAGCTGAAAAAGTTCTCTTTACTCCCCTGAATATACCACACTTTGGACGATTAAAATGGATCACAAACTTTAGTTCACTGACGCTTTTTACAGTATTTTTCCAAGTTTTACTCAAGCGAGTGCACTTTTGACTTTGCTCAAAACTTTTCGCAAACTGATTTTTAATAATTATTTCTGAGCAAACTAAATAAACTGAAAAACTGCTTGTTGCACCACTGGATAGAGCGCACTCACCTGAATTTGTACGATAAAAGCCAGTTCAGTGGATTTTACAACAAAAATTGCACTTAAAATAATTTGCTGTTCACATTCCGTAATGCATGTTCAAAGGTGTTTTCGCTTGAAAGCTGATGGTTTCGCAACCTTTCTAAAGTAGCAAACTAGACTAACTTTTGTTGTAAAAACTGATGTTGTATAGTGAGGTTACGCAGCCAAGTCCTACCATAAATTGTGTGGTTTTGTCATCAAATTCACGCAATAAGAATATTTTTGAGCAGGAAAGTCAATTGGAAAACTAAATTCTGCATCTACAGTCTTTGCAACTGATGAACGTGAGGGATTTAAAGCAAAGTGCTTATTTTTCTATTTACCGGTCAATTTCACTTGTTACCTCTGCTGATCTGCGATCGATTTCAATTCGACTCAACCAGAGAAACCCAAAGAAAACCAATGCATTTCTCGTCTAACTGAATTCATTCGGAGTTTTTGTTCTTGTGGCCAGTTCCGGTTATTTTCGCCAGCCAAAGTATAAATTTCCAGATAGCAATTCAGCTGGACACACGAAATCCCGATTATCATGAAAGGACATGAGTAAGTGGACTTTGTCGTGTCTAGCCAGAATTACTCAATATGCTGTATGGAGAACGAAGGATTTGGCCCAACAGTTTCATGTCGCTTTAATATTAATAACATTGCCGGTCTGCTAAATCTAGGTTATATATGGATAGGGCTTTGGGATTGGTCGAGTGTCTTTGGTCAATTTGAGTAGAACTTTTGTGGGCGCTCTAGTCTGTCTGGAAAATCCTCCAAAGTTCCTTAATTCCACTGATAATATCAAAATGAACTCGATTTTTAACCAACATTTCTGACTTGGTTGAAAACTGCACAAAGAATCGACTTAAAAATTTCAAGTTTCTACTCTCATTAGCCCACTGTAAACATAAACATTTGCCAGCTGCAAAACTTGCATTTGCCAGCAAAAACAGAACATTTAAAATGCAGCTGCTTCTTGTTGTGTGCCAGCGTCTGCAGCAGCTTGTAAAATATTCGTGAATTGTGCGACATACCGTCATATTTCTGAGGCTCTTACTGCACAATAAAATCTCCAGCTGTGAAAAATTGCACTTTACGATAAATCCGTGAAAAATGCACATCGCAAGATGGACCTTGAAGAATCCACTTGCAAATTGTGGTTGGCATTTATTCCTCATTTGGGGAGGAAACTGGGCATGTTATTAATGACGACCGAAAAAAGTCCTTTAATAATTGTCAACTTTCGGATATATTAAAAAAAAGTCCGCTGTTTTATATTGGATTTGTTCCGTGCCTCCCCTGGGTTATTAGAATTTCTGCCGCATTTCGTGCGTCAAAAGTCCCCCGAATCCTATTAATTACGTCCGAATTTTTTGCCAGTTTTTCTCCAATATATTTCCAGACATCATTAGATCATTCATTAAAGATAAAGCTAATTTCAGGTTTTGTCGTGGCACCATTCACTCGACTTTCATTTGCTTAATGTATCGGTGGTTGTTCGATTCAAACCATTCAATTTTAGTCTGGGTAATTATTCTCACACTTTTTTAGACGAAAAAGCCCTGACTTTTATCCGGGCACTTTTCGCGAATTTAATCTCCGTTTCTCTTGAAGATAAATATCGCGGCAATAAAAGCCAAGAAGCGAACTGCACTTCATGAGGCGAGCAAATGAAATTTCAGTGAGTGTGTGCAAGTGTTTTTACGATTTTTAATCGAATTARACWSTTGTGTTTGTGTTGCGAAAAAAATGTTTCCAGCGTAAAGCGAGTTTTTTATGGCGGCTAATGAAGGGTAATCATTTAAAACTTGGCCATCAAATAGCCCCAAAACTGGCAAAAACTTCCGTTATCGAAAAGGCCTGAAAGCCCAATAATAAACCCGTCGCAATTAAATTTGCCCATATTAATAATGAGCCAATAAATTCAATCAGCGCCAGCAGCAAGGAGAGTTTTATTGTGAAATTATTGCAAAATAAATTTTCCACTCTAATTTCCGCGATTAATTAACAATGAAATCAACATTGAAACTCGCATGCTCATTAACCAATCCCGATTTTGCCAAACTTTTCCTGGTGACAACAGGAAATTCTTAATGCTGTTCGGGAAAATTGGCGCTATTTAATTAGCACCAAAACGTATTTTTCCAAATTAATGGCTCGCTATTGTGCCCCTCTAATCACAAAAGCGGATATTCAACACGTTACGGAGCCTGTCAGCTCCAGCTAGATGGTGTCGTTAACACGCCGTGAAAATGGAAAGATCCCACATAATTCATGCGAATCATACTCGAAGCGTTAATGGAAAACCAAGAAATTGTGCTTGGTTCTTTATTTTTCGTCCAATAATGGGCATGGAAGCTGACACTAATAGTCGTAATGGAGAGTCATCATTCGATAACTTTGAATATTTGCTGCCCCATAAAGGAAATACAGTGTTCAATTTTCCATTATCTAATGCCCATGCTGGGCCACGAGCGAACACATTCAAACTTTCAAAGTCGATAAATGAGCAAAAGGCCTTTGAAATACGTTTTCAATCTCCAATTGAAATTTCCAATGGTATTTAGAAATTGCCGATTTTATATAAAAATATTGCATTTCAACCATTTTACACCGGGGCCTTTYCAGTTCTCAAGKAATCTTCCCTTGCAGTCGCAATCTTCAACRGACGATATTTTCCTTATTATCGACCCACAACTTTCATATTYGCTATTGGGAGCTTCTTAGGTCGGAAASAATCCAATAAGGGCAAAAAACACGATTGCAAAATTTTGATTTTTGGTCGAAAATTTCATAAGGGACTCCTTATGAAAAAGGACTCCCTAAAAAAAAAAAAATCRAAATTTTGCAATCGTGTTTTTTGCCCTTATTGGATTGTTTCCGACCTAAGAAGCTCCCAATAGCGAATATGAAAGTTGTGGGTCGATAATAAGGAAAATATCGTCCGTAAGAGGTCGATTTTTCCAAAAAATTCAAGTTTCTCAAAATACCTCGACTGCTGCATCATTTTCATCAGAGAGACAAGGAATGCAACGAACTGATTAAAAGACACCGGAGCCTTTCCAGTTCCCAAATAATCAACATTTTCGGACAACGAAATCTTCCTTCACATGTACCTACCCACAATCTCACTCAAAAGACAAATGTGAGAAAACCCATAAAAATGGAATTTTTCGCCCGCATTTCTGATTAATCCCGATAAGCCCTTTGCCAATTGAAAACATACATCAGCAGCAAAGTCCCGCAAACACTCGCATTCCCATAAAACTGAACCTCGAATCCATATAACTTTCGAAAATAATGATGCGGGCGTTGCCGAAACAATGTCTAGATTAACATTAATACTAATGAGTTTACCGTTAGCAGCTCAGAAAGTTAGTGTTATGGACGGTAAATGAGAGGCTATTATCGTTAGGAATTTCCGCCGTTCGAGTGGTAACTGAATATTTCCGCAACTTTTTAATGGTTTACTCAAGTTATCGTCTCGAGAAATTGGTTTAGGCATCCATTAAACTCAGGTGGAATTAATTGAGCAAAACGCTTATATTTTGAAATAGTTCTAGCTCAGAAAAACTGGTGCAAATTTGCAAAAAGTGCAATATTTGAACCTGACGTTTCACTAGCACGCCTGGCTTCCATAATCAGAAGGATGCGAAGGCATCGGAAAGTTTTTTTTTGCACCACTTTGCGAAAAAAAAATTGAAAATTGCGTCTGCGATCAGCGTTTGATCAACTGGAATTCTCGGGTCTAAAACAATTCCAATTTTGTCCGTCATAAAATTCCTTTCCACTATGACTGACAAGCGAAGAAACACTCGCAGTTTCTAGAAAAACCCGCAAAAAGTCTCACACCTCGAAAAAACAGTTCAAACGTCAAATTCCTGATGGGGAAACTTCGCGACTGATCCAACAGAGAGCTTTTCGGTGTAAAGTTTCCAACCAATCTTCACATTGTGTTAGACGAGCAACTTCAAGAGGAAATATTTTAAATAAATCCTTAG